TAAAAATGAATCCTATCTAATGGAGATTATTTTAGCAACGAATACATGCTATATCCTAAACAATACAATCATTTTTTTTTATTCAAAAAAATAACTGAGCCCAACTGGTTACTCAATTAAATATATTAGTTCACCAATAACACAAATTTAGGTATCAGTTCATAACGTGATATAAATTTTTGGTTGCTGTGGAGATGCTTTCCTGGATTCTTTGATGGATCTGGTTTTTTATAGTTTATCAATCTTTTGCCGGTTATTTAAATCCAAAAATATTTTTAAAATGTAAGAATTGTGGTAATTTTTAGGTAATAATGATTTAGTGATAGAAATCTTATTAATTAATTCATAGCTGTGTGAAGAGGTAGTTTCATCCATTTCTCAAAGGTACGCATGATTTAACGAACCCGACTGGAATTGGAACTCGTCTATCCGATTAACAATTCCGAGTCGTTTTCCATTACATCACACGAGCATTACGCAGTATTACCAACATGGTCATTTAAATAAATATACCAGATAATCTATTATACACATATTCAGGTCGGTAGGGAGAAATAAATATACTTCTTAATAAATAAATGGAGCGCCCACTCAAATAGGATTATCGACTAAAATTAACATTTAAAGTGATACAAATCTGTCGAATCCATTCTAAAAAAATCAATTCTAAAAATATCTCTTGGTTTATATTTGGATACGTAACTATGTGAAGATAAGAAAAAACTTTTAGAGATTCTATAGACGGGGATCTTTTGAGATAATGATGGTTTAGTGATACAAGTTCATAGCTGGATGGAGAGGAGGTGGATTGATACCTTTCCCATAGGTATCGTAATGGCAATTTGAACTTGGCCCTCCGATTAACAATTCCGAGCCATTATCCATTACACCAGACAGTCATACAAATTTACAGCACCTTATATTCTCAAACGATAACCCATCTGGGTACTGATCAGGTTCGACGTTGTGATCATACTGGTACCGGTGTTTCAATGTGATACGGCCATAAGCCTTTCCTGGATTCAGATGCTTTCTTGGATTTTGAACAAACTATCATTTAGATTATTGACATGAAAATTAAACAAAGAAATAATTTAGAAATATAATAGATACATGTAGACGCATTAACAAATACTTCATGTGATCTGACAAAATTCATATATATTCAGATAAACATATACCTTGATATGCTGTTGTACAGATAAAGTCTTCAAAAACTTTAGTTAATTCGAATATGTTTTCGGTTTTTGTTTACCAGTCACAGATGAGCTGTACCTGAAGAAAGAGAGGGTCAGCGAAGGAAACAAAGAGAGAAAGACAGAGAGAGGGAAATAATGGGAAAGAAAAAGAGAGAATGAAAAAGAGAAAGACTGAAGGAAAGACAGAAATAGATAAAGACAAAAAGGGAGAGAGAAAAAGAGCGAAAGAGAAAACAAAGAGGAAAATAATAAGAATGAAAAGTGAAAGAAAACTTCATGATTTGTGGAAGGTAGCCGAAATTCTCCATGAATTTGAAAAGAGAAAATTAAATGTATAGAAAGTAGATCATTTTGATATTGGCGTAAGGCGTACCTGAAAAAAGAATACCTCATCGTTTCTATCTTCGTTCCTTATAAAATACAAATTCAACCGATATATATATATATATATATATATATATATATATATATATATATATATACACTCTGTTTATACGTTACAAATATTTAAGTAAATGCTCTGTTTATAATAAACAGTATTAACAACATTTACTGGCTTGAATGTCCGAGAAATCTCAAAGAAAATACGTGTCCTCCGACAGGAATTGAACCTGTATCCTAAACGGGACCGTCATATAGCCCGACGTGCTATATTATTTAGCTATAGATGAAGCATCCGGTTAGCCAGGTTAGATAAATGTTTTTAAACTACAAATTTTCCACGATTTCTCTCGAAACGTTGAAAAACATTTAATAACTCAAAAACAAAGAATTTGCGGACATATGTTTATATGGACTTTTGTCCTTGTTTTGGTGTGAGCAACCCACTCCCAAAGTTTGTAAAAGTATTTTTCATACATATATATATATATATATATATATATATATATATATATATATATATATATATAAGGCAATTCACCCCAAGCAAGGTGGGAGTGACACTAGTACGCAAGTGGTTACAGACGATTGAGAACAAGAGTAAAGAGGCGTGTTTGAGGAAAGGATGCAGACAAGGGCGGGGAACAAGCTCAGGGAGTCAGATGTTTATTGACATTACACTTGAATAATTGAAGAGTATAGTCATCGGAGAAGCAAGTAAGGGGAAGGGAGTTCCACAGGCGGGAAGTGCGGGAGAAGAAGCTGTTTGAGAAGAAGAGACGGTTACATTTAATCGTTTTGGCAGTGAAAGGGTGGGACCGACATGCCAGCCTGGTTTAAATTCATGTAGTCCGGGAACCAGCGAAAGTAGCTCGTCGGAACAGTTGCCGTGAAAATATTTGTAGAAAAGTCTGTGTTATTGCGATTGTAGACTAGATGCCAGATCAGGACCTATCATTTTGCATATTCGTCTCTAGATTTTGTCAAGGACATCGAGACGTACCAGAACATATATGGCCACGATATTCCATGCAAGGACGGATGGTTGATTTACAGATTTAAAGGATGGACTCAGACGAGAAAAACTTTCTTGCACGACACAGAGAGCCAAATTTCCTTGCAGTAGATGAAGCTATTGACTCAATGTATCTATTCCACCTCATGTCAGTGGACAGCGTGAGACCAAGAAGGCGTAACGAGGCGCTCTCAAGGAGTTGGGAATTACCCATTCTGATGGGAGGCAGGAAGGGATCTCTATGGTAGGTAAAGGGGAGCAGTTTCATTTTAGAGGCATTAAAGTTTACAAGCCATTTCCTGCCCTAGTCAAACACAGATTGGAAGTTCTTTCCGAGATCAGCCGCCAGGTTAGTTTTGTCAAAAATACCAGATTTGCTATTGAGGCAGGAGTAAATAGTGGTGTCGTCCGCGTAGATGGCAACTTGGGAACTGATGATATCGGGAAGGTCATTGATGAAGATCAGAAACAGTGTAGGGCCCAAGATAGAGCCTTGGGGGACACCAGCGTTCTATATATATATATATATATATATATATATATATATATATATATATATATATATATATCTTACAGAGCATAAATGTACTTCTTTATTTTTGGTCTTTTTAAAAATGTATTTGTATATAAAATACATATACACTTATACGTATCTCACATTCTTATGGAAATTTTAGAATTCATAAATTCCGTTTTGACTGTCTTATTGATGAATACGTGATAAAATTAATAAAAAGAACGCAAGGTTAGCCAAATTTGTCCATCCACTGAAGAGATAAAAAAACAAACTTTCTCATCAAACAAATTCTAAGAAATTCACCAAAGAAATCTGTGAAAAATAAAAAAAAATACAAAGATACAATCTTTCAAATCTGATAACAATAATTCTTCAAGAATATTTTTATCCTTTTCCATATGGGAATCACCGCCATCAATTAATTTACATACGTCTTGCGATTCTGATATACTTTGATGGACAAAGATAAGACATTTATCTGTTTTACTGATTTTGAACCAATGAAAATAAATCAGGTGAATAAACATAATCGATTGGTCACGGATTTTATCACACAGAATTTTGTCCATTTTAGATTATTAACCGTCTGGCGTTTATTCCAAGTGCTATATATATGTATGTGTGTGTGTTACTTATATAATGTTATTTTTAGTGGATACTAAAGTAGTAGGCACTCCGTTTATTTATTTATCAGTAACCGGTTTGAATACTCGAGAAATCTTATTAAAGAAAATTTGCGCCCTTCAACAAGGATCGAACCTGCGTCCATCAGGACAGATGGAGCCAGCGTTTAGCCCGTCGCGAATAACTGCTTGGCCACGAAGGAACAGACGCTGTCAGGCGAAATCAATGTTATGCTTTTCAAGCGAAACTTTCCCGTCTATAGAATCTCTAAAAGTTTTTTTCATATCTTCACATAGATACGTATCCAAATATAAACTAAGAGATATTTTTAGAATTGATTTTTTAGAATGGATTCGACAGATTTGTATCACTTTAAATGTTAATTTTAGTCGATAATCCTATTTGAGTGGGCGCTCCATTTATTTATTAAGAAATATATTTATTTCTCCCTACCGACCTGAATATGTGTATAATAGATTATCTGGTATATTTATTTCAATGACCATGTCAAATTAACAAGTGTTACAATCCAATAATTCATGTATGGCCCACTAATTATGCACCTCTCTTATTTCAACCGCATCATCGGGTGTTAGTAATCTATATTAATTATCTATAATTAAATGTAAATTATATGTGAATTAAATGATTGAATTACTCTGGCAATTACATGAAATTTAAAATTCCGATAAAAATGTTTATTAAAAATATAATGCTATGAAAATGATGGGATGAAACATCGAAATATTTAGAAATTCGAGGAAAGTTTTTGTTTGCAAATCAAATATTGATTACCAAAATATTGATTACCAGTATGGATATTTTTTATGTCTTACTATCCTCATGCTTTTTTTTTTTTTACAATTTTTCTGGTAGGTAAATTATACACATATATCCAAGAATAAATGTGCATGTATATGTGCATGCATATATAACATTGGTTTGTATACCACTGCATAAGAGAAAGAAGGAGTATTTTTTTACATTATGAGTTGAAAAGAATGAAATCTCTTCCTATGTTTTAAACCATGCAGGTCTTGAATGTTTTTTCTTGCCGTTTCAGACAAAAGTCCGAATTAATGTGTACTTCTTATCTGGGAATACATTCAAGGAACGTTTATAAATAACTGAAAAAAAAAAAAGAATGGAATTGCAAAAACAAAATTTTTAGCAAGGGAAATGGAAATGGGAATTTGCCATGTTGCACAGTTTGAAATTTTGTAGTGATTGAAATTGTTTCCATTACGTGAAAAATTGCTTTGAG